CAGAATTGTTAGTCAGGGACAGACACAGAATTGTTACTCAGGGACACAGAATCGTTACTCAGGGACACAGAATCGTTACTCAGGGACACAGAATCGTTACTCAGGGACACAGAATCGTTACTGAGGGACACAGAATCGTTACTGAGGGACACAGAATCGTTACTGAGGGACACAGAATCGTTACTGAGGGACACAGAATCGTTACTGAGGGACACAGAATCGTTACTCAGGGACACAGAATCGTTACTCAGGGACAGACACAGAATTGTTACTCAGGGACACAGAATCGTTACTCAGGGACACAGAATCGTTACTCAGGGACACAGAATTGTTACTCAGGGACACAGAATCGTTACTCAGGGAGACACAGAATCGTTACTGAGGGACACAGAATCGTTACTGAGGGACACAGAATCGTTACTCAGGGACACAGAATCGTTACTCAGGGACACAGAATTGTTACTCAGGGACAGACACAGAATTGTTACTCAGGGACAGACACAGAATTGTTACTCAGGGACACAGAATCGTTACTCAGGGACACAGAATCGTTACTCAGGGACACAGAATCGTTACTCAGGGACACAGAATCGTTACTCAGGGACACAGAATCGTTACTGAGGGACACAGAATCGTTACTCAGGGACACAGAATCGTTACTCAGGGACACAGAATGGTTACTCAGGGACACAGAATGGTTACTCAGGGACACAGAATGGTTACTCAGGGACACAGAATGGTTACTCAGGGACACAGAATGGTTACTCAGGGACACAGAATTGTTACTCAGGGACACAGAATCGTTACTCAGGGACACAGAATCGTTACTGAGGGACACAGAATCGTTACTGAGGGACACAGAATCGTTACTCAGGGACACAGAATCGTTACGTTATTTTTGGGGTGCTTATTGAATTAAAGAGTATGTCAGACAACACGCAGAAGAGTGGCAGAGGAGGCAATGTTTCAGGAGCGAGCAGACGTGGCAGCAGAGGAAGGGGTCGAGGCAGCACTAGTCGCAGCCAGAGGCCAGTGCTCCCGGTGTCATCCAGCGGTCGTGTCTCCACCGACAACCCTGCCGTCATCGATTGGTTGGCTCGGTCGTCTTCCTCTTCCCAGGTCACCTCTGACACCTACAGCCAACGGTCGGTGGGTACGTCAGACACAACCGTTAGTTGGCATGGCCCGGGAGCAAGCCCACTGAAATCACGTGTCCTCTACCTGCCGCTGTCCTTTGGTGTTCCCTCACCAAGCGAAGTATCGCATGCTGTGGGCTCAGCCCCACTGTACAGTGAGGAAGAGCTAACAGAGGGCGGTCAGGAACGGGGGGAGACATCCGCCTGTTCAGCAGCCAGGCGAAGAAGTACTGGCGAGGAGAGTGGCTCGGTAGCCGGTCTAGAGACAGGTCTGTCTCCTGACCCACACGCAGCCGAGGGGGCTAGTAGTGAGGCGGAGACCCTAATTGATGATGATGAGGCTGATCGCACTTGGCAGCCTCGTCGTCATCAGGCTATTGCTTCCGCATCATCAGGAGAAGAGGGTGCCAGCTCGGCAGCGAGCAAAACAGTCGGTGGGTTGCCCAGGAGGCAGCAGGGTCGCAGCAGTGTCAGTGGAGGCAAACGGCCACGGAGTAGAGCACCAGCTCCACTGCAGCCTACCACCATGGACAGTAGTGGTGCCGGTGTGCACGGAGGAAGTAGCAGTCAGCCAGTGAGGAGTAGCGGGGGCAAAGTTTCCTACTCGGCGGTGTGGCAATTTTTCGTCAAGCCGCCCGAGGAAGTAAACGTAGCCGTATGTCGACTATGTGGCCAGAAAGTCAAGCGTGGCCAGGGGGCCCATGTTGGGACTACAGCGTTGCGTCAGCATATGCAGCGTCGCCATTCGGTGGCCTGGGAAAACCGTGATAAAGATACGGCGGTTCTGCCTGCCCCAGCCCCCGCTCCATCACCCGCTCCGTTACTTGCTCCGTCACCCGACGTCAATCGCCCTCTATCAGCCAGTCAAGGCTCCAACACCTCTGCTGAGGGGAGTTTGTCGCTCGTTGGCATCTTCCGCTCGTTCAGATGCTCCTTCTCCTGCTACTCCTCTTCACGGATTCCGTCAGCAGTCTTTCTTGGAATCCGTTTCCAAGAGACAACAGTTTGCGAGCACGCACCCGACGGTGCAGAAGCTGAACGTCCTCCTGTCCAAGTTGCTGGTGCTGCAGTCCCTCCCTTTCCAAGTGGTGGACTCAGCACCTTTCCGAGAAATGATGGCTTGTGCCGAGCCGCGGTGGAGAGTGCCAAGCCGGCATTTCTTCGCCAAAAAGGCAGTGCCAGCCCTGCATTCACATGTAGAAGAGATGGTGGGCCAGTCTTTGAGCATGTCGGTCTCTGCCAAAGTGCACGGCAGCGCCGACGTGTGGAGCTGTAACTACGGTCAGGGACAGTACATGTCATTTACGGCCCACTGGGTGAACGTGGTGCCGGCACAGCCGCACCAGCAACTTGGACAGGTCACGCCGCTTTTGCCTCCACGTTTGCACGTCCTTGGTCCAGAAAAGAGATTTTTTATTATTTTATTATACAGTATTTATAAAGCGCCAATAGTTCACTCAGCGCTGTACATTACAAAGGGGGACAGAACATGTGACAGAACAATACCAATACAATGCAAAACATGAGGGGATCGAGGGCCCTGCTCTTTCGAGCTTACAATCTAGAAGGGATGGGGCAGTGGTACAGGAGGAGATAGCTGTGGGGGATGGAGTGGTAGGAAGAGTGGAGGAGGTCAGCAAGTTAGCAGGGGGTGAGGTAGGCTTCCCTGAAGAGATGGGTTTTCAGGGTGCGCCTAAAGGAGAGGAGAGTAGGTGATAATCTGATGGGTTGGGGCAGGGAGTTCCAGAGGATGGGTGACACCCTGGAGAAGTCCTGGAGGCGGGCATGGGAGGAGGAGACCAGGGAACTAGAGAGAAGGAGGTCTTGTGAGGAGCGGAGTGTGCGTGCTGGGCGGTACTTGGATATTAGGTCAGTGATGTAGTTCGGGGCAGTATGGTGGACAGCTTTGTACGTCAGTGTTAGGATTTTAAATTTGATCCATTGCGCAATCGGAAGCCAGTGGAGGGATTGGCAGAGGGGGGTGGCGGAAATGGAGCGGTTGGAAAGGTGAATGAGTCTGGCAGCCGTATTCAGGATCGACTGAAGCGGGGATAGCCAGCGGCGAGGCAGGCCAGTGAGGAGGGAGTTGCAGTAGTCGAGTCGTGATATGATGAGGGAGTGGATGAGCTGTTTAGTGGTTTCTGGGGTTAGGAACGTGCGGATTTTGGCGATGTTGCGGAGGTGGAGTCTGCACGAGTTTGTTAAAGATTGGACTTGGGGCTGGAAGGATAGGTTGGAGTCCAGAATGACACCAAGTACTCTGGCCTGCAGAGCGGGTTTGATATTGGCGTTGTTGGATGTGATGTAGAAGTCAATGGGGGGTGGGGTTCGGGCTGGGGGAAAGACAAGGAGCTCGGTTTTGGAGAGATTCAGTTTAAGGAAGTGGAGCGACATCCAATCTGATATGTCGCTCAGTAGGTGTGTGATTTGGGCAGAGACCGAGGGGGTGAGGTGGGGGGTTGAGAGATAGATTTGTGTGTCGTCGGCATAGAGGTGGTAGTTGAAGCCGTGAGAGTGTATGAGTTGGCCAAGGGAGGAGGTGTAGATGGAGAAGAGAAGGGGCCCAAGGACAGAGCCTTGAGGGACCCCAACAGAGAGGGGGAGTGAGGGGGAGGTGGTAGCATTATAGGTAACGCTGAAAGAGCGTTGTGACAGGTAGGATGAGAGCCAGGAGAGAGCAGAATCTCTGAGGCCGAGGGAGTGTAGTATTTTGAGGAGGAGAGGGTGGTCAACTGTGTCGAAGGCCGCAGAGAGGTCAAGGAGTAGGAGCACTGAATAGTGGCCATTAGCTTTGGCGGTTAGAAGATGTCCGCCTCTACCACCTCTTCTTCCGCCGTGTCCTCAGCCGCCACCCCCCGTGCCAAGTCCCATTACCCGACCGGCATATCACATGTGCAGGGCGCAACGGTGTCACGCTGTGCTGCACCTGGTATGCCTTGGCGAACGTAGTCACACAGGGGAGGAACTTCTGAGTGGGTTAGACGCCTTACGAACAAGCGAAAGGCCATCACCGATTTCCTAATGTTTTAGACAAGCGGATAAAGGGTACTCCCCTGTGTAACTTAGATGTCAGCCATTGGCAGCTCATGCGTGACACCTGCCGCGCTTGCTCAGGCCCTTTGAGGAGGCCACGCTATTCGTGAGTAGCTCCGCAACTCTGCCATTGGACTCTTGATAGTCGACGACTATCAAGAGTCCAATGGCAGAGTGGCGGAGCCAGAAGCAGCTTCAATTGGCAGGCCATACACAGTGCCTTAGGTTTAAAAGTCCCTCACACGTTAATTCCAATAATGAACTCTACTCCTCCGTGCAATCTACTTACCAGACCCCGGGCAGATCTGGGCCAATATTGTGGTAAGACTGGTTTTGTTCAGCCATGCTTGAGCGAGTAATAAACAGGTCTGTGCTGCCCTTTGGTGTCTGGCTAAATGAGCAGCAACACTGAACTCCAGCGTTTTGCAAAACAGAATTTGCCGATAAGTGACAAACCCCTGAACCACCGTTCATGAAGGAGCCCGGAAGGGGGGCCAGAAACATAGGACCTGGCAGCACGTGGCAGACGACAGAGGCACATGGCGCAAAGGGGGGCGGTGTAGGGAGATTATTCGAAAACCATACACAGGCCTAGGTTTTTAAAAACGGAACCGTCAGCACGGAGCAACGACAGAGGCACATGGGCGGGGGGCGGTGGATCAGATATTTTTGGGGAAACCAAACCAGGCCTCGGGTTAAAAAACGGAAGCCGAC